CCCTTCTTGTATATTGCCCCCCTCCCCAGCACCCAAACTATCCTGTGTCTATTCCCTGCCCTGTGCTCTACCTTCCCCTTCCTCCCCCTCCCCCCACCCCACACATCCCAGCAAACAGAAAAGAATCCCTCCCCCTTTAGCATGGGTTCTTTTTCTTAAGTCTTTTACAGTAGTGATCCTATGCAGTATTTCTCCTTTTCTGACTATTTTCACTAAACATAATGTCCTCAAGGTTCATCCATGTTATGCGGGTGGCTTGCAGCTTCCTTGTTATTCTTCAAGGTAGCATAATATTCCAGTGTGTGTATGTACCACAGTTTGTTTATCCATTCTTCAGTTGATGGGACCTTTGGCTGTCTCCATCTCTTTGCTATTGTAAATAGTGCTGTTATGAACATTGGTGTGCATATATCTACTCGTGTTATGGCTTGTATTTCTTGTGGGTAAATACCAAGTAGAGGAATTGCTGGACCAACCTTCTGAGGAAGTGCCATATTGCTTTCCAGAGAGGTTGGACCATTTTGCAGTCCCACCCACAGGGTGGCTGAGTCAGAACTGACAGGATGGCACTTTAACAACAACATGTATAGGAAGACAAAGGGCATTACGTAAAACCTAGGCCTCAAACTGGTTCTTCGCAGTTTGAAGGCCTGGTTTCTGATAAAGTAAAACATAGGGACCCGAATTTGCAAAACATGGGCAGTAACCAGAACAGAAAAATTAAGGGACAACACCCTACTATAAACATAATTTCCCTCCTAGACAGAAAACAAGGGCAGTATATATGCTGCATGGAGTCCTGGTGTAGCACTGTAAGATAAGCATTGGACTGCAAGGTCAGTTTGAATCGCAAGGTCAACAATTCAAAACCACCTCGGAAACCCTATAGAGTTGCTATGAGTTGGAACCGACTCAATAACACTTAACAATGCATGCTGCATAGCAACAGTATCTCTTGACTAGGACAGTGGGTTAACAGTGCATGGCTCAAAAAATGGAGGTTGACTGTGTTGCTTTGAATATATGTTACTCTCCACAAACCTGGCAATAATTTAATATCCCCCATCTAGCTCCTGAAATTGCTCACTATGTCTCTCTCAAGTCTCCCACTCTAGGTATTCAACTCATAATGCTTCTTGGTTTCCTTATCTGTCAAACAGAGAACAAATAACTTACCCTTCATTTGGGTTTGTTATGATCAACAAGGAAATTTTGTATGAAAATGGTCTGAATTCAAAGCAGGTTATATAGTTATGACTTGTGTTTTAAATATAAGCCAAATTTGGTTCATCAAACTCATGCAAACAAAATTTTTACCTGATAGTCTCGGAGACCAACCAATATGATGTCTGATGTATTTATCCAAACCTAGAAAGGAAAATTCATAGCACATTATTCTTAAAATAAAAGCAAAGGATCAAGTGCAATGCTGAACCAGCCATCCCATAAAACATACTATTCACCCAAGCAGGAAAAGTACCTACTTAGAATTAGGAATTAATAACTATGGTAAGCAGCTGGGCCTGCTTCAAATTTTCTCTAAGTTGGGAGGTTAAAATATATCTTACTTGGTAGTTCAATAATTCCAGAGTAATGATTATTAAGAAATTTAAAATTACCTACCACCTATTACATAAGAGAATATAAAATTAATGATTGGTTTTATTTATCTCCCTCCTTCCATGTATCCTCCTACTACTCACAGCCTTCCCCTGACCCTAACCTCTTTAGTTTGGTAAGGATTACCAAACTAAGTCCTTAATTAGAAGTATTAGCCAAACTAAAATTTAAAAAGTCATAAAATCAGAGTTGGAAGGAACCTTTCACCAACCCAATCAATAAATCTCTCTGAACATCTATTGTGATGAGGAATTAATAATTACTTTCCATGGCAGCCCATTCATTATCACACTCAGGAATGATAACTTATACAACACTTAGCCCAACACAGTTCATATTCCGAATTTGTCAATACTCTTTACAACTGTTCCCACAATCCCACTATTGAGCCATATCTAATCAAGGACTAGATATTGCATTCAACTCTCAGGTCTAGCCAGGCTCCTTTAAACTGGAACAGTGCTCAGTTCCCAGCCTCCAGCCCCTCCACCACTAATGTTTGATGAGGCATATCAATGTTCCACTGAAATCTTTGTGGGAACATACAAAAATGAGTTTCTTGGCCAATAAAACAGAATACAGGGATTAGTTTTCCTGACTAATTTTATATTAAAGTAAGACAAATCTTTACACCTACCTTTTTCCTCAACTTTCCCCTGATGTGACACAACCTCTTTACACCATCAAAACACATGGCTTCTAATCGTCCATTTCCCAACATTTTAATTACCTGTGCATATTCTGGGGGGAAGGGAAGAAGAAAAGGTTATGAGATACTCTTCAAACTTGTATAAAAGACAATCAAAATGCCAAGAACTAGATGGTACCAGGCTATCACTACCAACTTCTCTGAAAGGGATCACATTAGAAAATCCTGAAGAAAAGTGAGAGGGGAAAAAAAATGTGGAACTCCAAAATTATTTTAAAAAAAAGAAAGAAAAAGGGCTAGGCTTACTGGTCAGAGAATAGAGGATATAAACACACTGGTAATGTTTTATTTCTTACACTGAGCACTAGAAAATGTCTGCTATACTTTATATCTTATTATACATTTGATATATTTTATAATAAATGTGAATGAAAACTGCCTTTACTGCTAAGTTAGACCAAACAACTGTGTGTCATATATATATTAAATACAGGATATTACTCGATCAGCTAAAAGGATTAAGAATTCTAAACCTGACATTCCTCTTTCAAGGTGACAAATTACGGTGAAAAAAAAAAGGGAAACATTTAAAAAGTAGATGAAGGGCCTAAGGGAGTTCCCTATACCAATATTCCAACTTTTCTGTAGCTTAAAATTGTTCAAAATAGAAACATTGAGAAAACACAAGTGTTCCACGCAGGATTATTCTGTTCCACTGGCTAACAGCAATGGAGAACTATGTGGCCTACAGAAGCCTCACATCCACAGTCTACTAATCACATTGTGTAGCAGCTCTATAGTAGTCCATGATTTACAATGTATCCATGCCACTTAAAACCATCTGGTTTTATTTTTTAGGGGGTACATACAGCTTATCGCTACTGTAGTACACTGATTTTACTTAATATGTCTCTTCTAGTCATGCTCTTACAGTGCCACACCAGGAGTCCAGCTTCATCATATGCCATTTAAAAATCCAAACCCACTGTAGTCAAGAACTACCCTATAGTGTTTCTGAGAATATAAAATTTTACAAAACAAGCCTCATCTGTCTCTCAAGAAGTAGCTGGCAGTTTTGACCGGCAGACCTTTCTGTTAATAGCCCAGTGCTTAACCCACTGCACCAGCAGGGCTCCTGCCTTATGACAGTTATTACTAATAATCCCTATTTTACAGATAAGAAAACTGAGGCTTAGAGAAGTTAAGAAGCATCTACAAATGCCATAGTCAGTGAGTTGTTTGTACCAAAGAGTTGACTTAACCCAGGCAGAGCCCATGTTCTTACCACCTTCCTTTGTACATCCCAGAGTAAGACTTGCACCCAGTTTCTGGACACCTGTGATTGGGTGGGACCATGCAAATAACTGCAAAGAACTCTAATGCTGAAACTAGTTAGTTTTGCCATACCACTCAGTTGAAAGAAGCCATCTCAGAAGCAGGAAGACAGGATCCTAGGATCATCAAGAGTGAGTCACGGGGAAAGTACAAGATCCCTTTATGGAAAGGCAGCAGCAAGGCAATAGCAAAGAAAAATGGAGCACCAGGGAGAGTGCCTTTAGACAAGAGGCTGGCTAGTAGAATGGGCCCCTTAGGCCATAAATCCACAGTGCTAAAAGAGCTTGTAACACTTGCCAAAACAAAACAGAGGAACTCCTGACTGGAGAACTGCAGTATCCTGAATGGCACCCTGTCAACTTCCTTAAAGAATGAACCCCATATAATCTTGACTATTATTTGTGTGGCCACTGCAATAGAATATTGAACCCAGTAGAGAAGTCGAGTGTTGTGGAAGGGATGGTTGATGTCAGAATAGTATAAAGGTTGGAGACTAGAAGCATGTCTGACCTTGGGCTGCTGTAAAGTTTGATTCTGCTTCCTTGTATAGCCAGAAGATCTGACATCACTTTCATGTCATCTAAGCAGTCACTAATATGTCCTACATATAATACTGTAGTGTGCAATTTGCTGATGTTATCATTCTCAATGTTCAATGTATGATCTATAAAAATACTGATAATTAAAGGCAACAATAATGAAAACTTAAAGAATAAAAGATATTTGACTTATCAAAAAAGGTCAACTAAGTCACAAAGTTGTCAACCATGTCTCTGATGTTTAATTTAATTCTCTCTGAATTCTACAATCCATTGTTACTTCGAACCTGAGAGTCTATGCAAAATGATGAACTCTCTATGCTCGCAAAAATGCTGCCAGCCCTTAACATAGACTGAGCATATCAAGAAATGATTGCCAAAAACTCTGGAGAAGTGCAAACAGGGACATAAGAATTATGCCTTACGATTATGTGAGCAATGGAAATTCTATACTTAATAAGAGAATATTAGCAGCCTACCTTCCGAAACTGCTTACCTTGTCCATCCTCTTTGAATACCAGCTCTCTTTTTTCAGACTCGTTCTCATTCTTACCTCTACGTCTATTTTTACCTCCTTTACCTAAGTTTAAAAAAAGTAAACAAAGAAAGATATTAATCATTTGCAGAACAGTATTAAGAAACTAAATTAAGGTTTACAAAGCTTGAAAAATGCAATCATAATTGCTATGTATGTATAGGAAAAAACATAGTATATATAGGGTTTGGTACTATCTGTGGTTTCAGGCATCCACTGAGGTCCTGAAACTTATCGTTCCATGGATAAGGGGGGCCTATGTGACGCTCTGGGTTGTTAATGTGTTGGACTGTAAAGTTGTTTGAACCGTAACATCAGCAGTTCAAACTCACCAGTCACTCCTCAGACACCTTATACAGGGTCGCTATGGTTAGGAACCAACTCGAAGGCACTTAACAACAACAGCTCTTCTTAGAAATTCCTTTCGGGATTTGTTTCTGACATAAAGCACATACCAAAAAAATAAGCTGAATTCATTAAGTTACAGAAAAATATTCTACTTCAGCACCCATCCTTTTCAAATAAAAATGGAATCCCATACATACAATCCCAAACATATTCTTTCAAACTAAAACCTTAGGTGCCTTCTAAAGCCAGGCCTTAAATATATAAAGAACCTGATCTAAATTTCCAAAACAAAGTGAGAGTACTTAGGCGGAGAATTGGGGTTTTCCAAACGTACAGCAGCCAAAGCAACTATCAATATTCATAGTCTCACCACATGTAAAGTTGTACTCATTAATAAGCACATCCCTGTATGTATCTATAGAGTCCTGGTGTGGCACTGTGGGTTAATGTACTGGACTGCAAAGTTGCTTTGAACTGCAAGGTTCAATACAATACCTCTCGACACTTTCCTCACACTACCATATGTGTCAAGGCCCCACCAAACCAAATGTCTTATTTGTTGTTTTTGTTAAGTGCCATGGAGCGAGATATGACTCACAAAGACCCTTGTGTAGGGTTTCCGAGGAGCAGCTGGTGGGGGGTTTGAACCGCCAATCTTGTGATTCACAGTGTAGTGATGATCCTATAGCGCCACACCAGAAGTTGGAGTAGCTAGCATTTATAATTAAGCACCACATGTGCATGACTATGAAACAGGTACTATTTTGTCTTTACTTCAAAAGAGAAAAAGGTCTTTAAAAAGAGTAAGTGAACTCAGGAATGAGAAACAGGCACTATGGCCCCAGTGACTATGTAATAATGCTACCCATTTACTTGTCACAATCACCTTATGACCTAAGAGCAGTCATCTATTCCCAAGTTATTAGAGTTCACCGAAGCTCAGGGAAATTAAACTCACTTAACTGCCAGAGACTAAGGATGACCAGATTGATTTGGGGGTGGGGGTGGGGGCCAGGGGCTCCTGCCACATTAGGATACCCCTCCCCACAGCATTCTGTTCCCATTATAGAACCTAGACCACCATTAGCCATTTTCAAAATGTAAGAGAAAGGCTCCAAAGTGGTGTTGATTGTCAACAAGGGAATCATGGATAGAGCTTGGAAGCTACACAAGGTTCACAACCCAAACAAATCATTTCCAGATCCACTCAGATTCATTAGTTCTGTATTTGAGCTACTCTTGGGGCATATCAAACTTATTTCCTATGAAAAGTATCTGCTACTTCAAGCACTAACCATGCCAGACCTTCGAACTACACAGAAAGCTCATTAGTTCAAGACTCATATGTTTTATTTATGTGTGGTGCTGTAGTATCAGCACTGTACTGTGACCCACAAGAGGTTGGCAGTTCACACACCAGTTGCTCCTTAAAAACCCTATATAGGGTTGTTAGGAGTCGGAACTGACTTGACAGCACTCAACCCAAGTTTGCCGTAAGCCAGGAGTAGTTTTATCCATTCCTAAAGGGGTAATGATTTAAACCTCCAGTGTGGAAGCTCCTAACCCCGCCTCCTATTCATGAGTGTGCCATAGGATGCCCCTTTTCCTGATTCCTAAGATTTATAGGAGTCCTGGTATGGTGCCATAGGATAAGCACTGGATTTCTAACCTCAAGGTGGGCAATTTAAACTCACCAGTCACTCCTCAGAAACCTATACAGGGTTGGAACCAACTCGATGGCACTTAACAAGATTTCTACAGGAAATAAACTAAACAAGAATCAGCCCAAAGGTTAAGCCATTCAACACACACTTCATAGCAATTTGTATCTTTACTTGCATAACCACCATGAGATTATATTCGTAGGACTTTTGAATTTTCCAATGAAGAGATCATTAACATCAACTCATAAAACTCAGGGATCTTGGAAAGTATCCCTCTCTAAGTGGCCTGCTGTTGCTGTTAAGTGTCATTGAGTAGATCCCGGCTCATAGTGACCCTGTATAGGGTTTCCAAGGAGCAGCTGGTGAGTTTGAATGCTGACCTTGCAGTTTAACCCGACCCTGACGCAGAGTGCTTATCCTATAGCGCCACACCAGGGCTCCCCCTAAGTGACCTAGAAGATAACAAAGGGGTTTTACATTTACAGAAGTAATAAATACTAAATTCAGAATGGTGGTCACCTCCAGAAAGAGAGGGAAAAAAGGAGGAACACAGAGTGTTAAACTTCTAGGTTGTTAATTCTTAAATTCACAATAATGGATGATCTATATAACTATCTCTATATATACATATATAATGTTGTTAAAGTGCTGACAAGTGTTTACAAGGTGTGGCTGGTGGGTTTGAACCACCAACCTTACAGTTCAAACTGACCTTGTGGTCTAGTGCTTATCCTACAGTGCCACACCAGGATTCCATATTGTTGTTGTTGCTAAGTGCCATTGAGTCAATGCCGACCCACAGACCCTATAATACAGGGTTTCTGAGATCGTAAATCTTTACGGGAGCAGAAAGCCTCATCTTTCTCCCATGGAACTGCTGGTAGTTTCGAACTGCTGACCTTGAGGTTAGCAGCCTGACTTGTAACCACTTCGCTACCAGATTGCCTTAGGATTCCATATACATACACACACACACACACACACACACACACACACACACACGACTCAGTGCTTGTCAATTTATCAGAATTAATCATGCCCCAACAAACCCCCCTTCTCTTATTTTATTGTGATGGAATGGAATGTACTTTAAATTCTTTTGTGAAAAACTGAGACCAGAACTGAACATACAATTTAAAGTAGCAGTTTATTCAAACTTTTTACTTTTTTTTCCTTTCTAAAAATAGTTCCGAAATGAAATCAAAATCTCAAATCCCTGCCTTAAAAAAAAAAAAACCCAATCAGATGTGTTTTAGGAGAAACTCCTGGAGGCTAGTGAATGAGACATCATGTAGTGCAAAATTCCTGCCCCCTTGGAACCAAAGAGAAACCTATTATTCACCTAAGGGTGGAGTCAACAGAGGGGAGGTGATTTAATACAACATATATTTGAGTGACTAATAAATGCCAAGTGCTAGTGATCCAATATGAATAAGACAGAGTACATTCCTATCCTTTGGAGCTTAAAGCCAAATGAGGGAAATAGAAGTCTTACCACCAGGAAATAAAGGTGAGAATAAGATACATGTGGAAATGACCCAGTTCCCCTAGCTGAGGGAATCAGAAATTAGAAGAAAAAGATTTTTAAAACCCTTTGATCACTCCAGTCTTTCCCAGCAAAATTAACAGTAAACACACCGTTGCTACCAAAAGGACCTGTGAACTGGGTTCTGCAGACAGCAAGGAGGAGTGTCCTAAAGTACTGCCCCCAAGTACTCTGAGGGATAAAATGAGTGGTCCCAACTCCGGAGGAAATGAGATAGAAAACCCAAAGCCAGCTGGCAAGCAAAAGTGCACCCAAGTGTGTCTGTAAGCATTTTCCTGTAAAACACAGTTTCCCCTGTTTATCCGTGCTCATTTTTCTATGAGTTTATAAAGTTATTGAAAATGGCACAAACCCCTTACATCCACAAAAAGAAGACTTGCTTCAGGACGGACTGAACACGTTTTCTCCCTTTACACACATTAGTCCTTCTGTTTTGGAGGTTTACGGTCAACTTATTCTAAAGTCTGATAATTTGTGAACATTTAGCCTCAGAATAGACAATTTAAAGGTCTTTACTCCCACAATATATTCCGAGGCAAAAGTAGAAAACTTGGCTTAACATGTGGAAAGTCTTCTAGAAAAAATAAGTTACACCCTTTTTACAAAAGGACGCCGGAGAATGAACCTCTAGAGAGGACCCTAAAAAGTGCATCAAGATTTTGCCCACGGTTTACAGAACTTTTCATAAAAAAAATCCATGGAGGAGTACCCGATGGTGACTACAGTCGACTTCACGCTTTGACGGGCCTGATATGCTCTCCCCGGGGTCTTCCAACAGGCCCTGATCGTCGGCGGGAGGCTCGCGGTTAGTCTGGCGCGAAATTACCAGCTAGAGCCCACATTCTCCCACAGGAGGCCCTACAAAAATGGCGTCGGCTCCACCCCAATGTGACCAAACTGGGAGACATGAGTAACTTCCCCGCTCTTCTCCAGAGCTCAGAATCGTGTGTGGGGACCACAGGCGCGAGCGGGCGGGGTGGGAGCAACCCGAAGGCCTCAATAGGGTTGGGGTACTGATCGAGCAGAGCCGTGGTCTCAGGGACCCGGCGGCATTACCTTTATTCTTAGGCATGGCGCTGACGGCGGCCTCGCGGCGTCTGACTCCTTCTCGGACGGCGGCGGCGGCGGCGGCGGCGGCGGCGGCGGCGGCGGCGGCCCTTCTAGGGGAGAGCGAAGGGTGAGGAGGGGGAGCGCGTGGAACGAAAAAGGCTCGAGAGGCCGACCGCGCGCGTGAGAGAGCCTATGGACCGTGTTCTTCAGAGATCCTCTCGCAACTACGCTTGGCGCAGCAAATGGCGTCGCAGTTGCGTACGTCACTTTTCCCCGCCTACGCCGCAAGTTCGACCCGCCCCCAGACCTCACGGCGCATGCACGGCTGACAAACCCCCATTGTTAAGACTTAGGGAGACGCGAAACCCTGGGTTCACAGCAGGCCAGAGGACTGCGGCGGGGCGGGGACAGCGAGGCTGGGAGCTGGGAGGGGACCGAATTTTATAAGGATGGGCGGAGTCACGGGAACACGTCATAACTAAGGGAGTATTACGGAGCGCCCACTGCTGGCTGACACCACACCTCTGCTGCTTTGTGCCAAAACCATGTCTCCCAGTTAGGCAAGTTGGTAACTCATAGCTCAGTTTTAACACAACCTTTTCTTCCACCCAGCCAGGCTAGGGCCTGGGGGAAGGGCAAGATTCCCCTTATGTCAACTACCAAAGCCGAATATAAGGAGCTCGGGTAGCATTTGTTGTTGTTGTTAAGTGCCGTCGAGTCGGTTCCGACCCAT